GTACCAGGGATCGAACTCATGACTACCTGCTTGCAAGGCAGGTGCTTATGCCGCTGAGCTAAATCCCCAGCCCCAGGCGTGAATTTTTGTATGGTGACTTGGACCCCAAGAAAGTAATAAAGAAGCTGTCAGATTTCTTAAGGCATAGGTTCTGGAACTTACATAATACCACTTTTTCCACATTCTGTTGGTCAAAGCAAGTGTCAAGGCCAGCTCTGATTCAAGGAGCGGGAATCAGCTCTTCTTACCCATGGTGTACAACCACAAGCACACTTTCTACTTCTATAGAGTTTTTTTGTACTGAGAATTGAACTGAAGACCTTGTGCTTGCCAGGGAGGCATTTATGCCACTGAGCAATATCCCTTGTCTCATATCACTATAGATTTTTTACTGTGTTTACAGAAAACCTATTAACACCAAGGAGACTGAATGAGAGAGATTCATGTGAGAGGTGTTAGTGTTTGGAGAAAGAAATGACCTCATAAGAAAATGAAATAATAGCAGTTGCAATCTCTTTGCAAAGTGTTACATAAATATACTAGTTTCATAATCTGCACTGTCCCCAGCCAGCAACTGCTGTCCCCAGCAGTTTTCCATTAAGCCAGGCTTTCTTTCAATAGGCCTCTGCTCAGTCTGCCTGATCCCCTATCCTCTGTGAATTCATCAAAGCTTCTGCTGACTCTGGAAGAATCCAGAGAATGATCACTGCAGTGAAAGTCTCAAATCATCCCCCAGGGCCTCTAGTAACAAAACATCTGCTTGTCATTCTCCCTTACCATTCTGGGCTTTAGTAAGAAAACTGCATTAAATGATAATGATAAACAATTTAAAAACCAGACCTTCTGGCTTCTAAGCAGAAAGGTTTAATTTAAAGGCAACTGATTATCCACTCATTATAATTTACAAATAGTGGCTTTCATGTCTCCCATTACTGGTCTGTGAACAATACTCGAGAAGATGAAAAAAGTCCAAGTTAACACATTTTAAAAATCAGAGAGCAAAGACCCCAAGAAGAGGAACGAGGAGGATGAGGAAAAAGAGAAGGAGGAGGAGGAGGAGACTCTTATCAAACATGTAGTCCAAACCTCTCATTTTATTTTATTTATTTATTTTTTGTTTTTGAGACAAGGTCTTACTAGGAAGTCCAGGTCTTAAATTCACTGTGTAACTCAGGCTGATCTCAAAGTCACAAGCGGCCTCAGCCTCCTGAGTGCTGAGATTATAGGCATGTGCCCCAATCTCAGCCAAACATCTCGTTTTGTAGATGAAGAAACTGAGGCCTAAAGAGAAGGGACTTGCCAAAAGTCACCCAGCAGCTGGGGGTAGGTGATGGGAAGGATGAGAGAATAGGTACTGGAACCAAAGTCTCCATCTTGGCTCTAGCTTAAGCCCACTTACAGAGATGAAAGGGTAGCTTAGCCCTGTCTGCCCTGTACAGGCTTGGAGACTCCATATGAAGACCACCCACTGATGTGGCAATTGCTACATTTAGTGTCTCCATAATTATCAATGTGGGATGACAGCCACAGAACCAGGTGGAAACAATTCATCAAGAACTGGAATGTGGTTTAAATTGCAGAGCAGACTGGAGCAGGGAGATTTTTGCTTTACATCAAAATTAACATTTTTATTTGCTAACATCTTATGTTTTTCACATAAGAACTGATATCAAGAACTTTCAGCTCCCCAGCGATAGGAAATGTGGATACCTGATATTTATAATCATTAAACCTTGGGGTTTCAATCTAGTGGAGTACTGCCAGCCAGTTTTTTTAGCTTCCTTTGGGAAAAGAAGTTTCTGGAAGGTGTGTCTTGACTATCATGAAAGAAGAGAGAGCTGGGGATATAGCTTAGTGGTAGTGCACTTGCTTAGTATGCACAAGGCCCAGGTTCAATTCCCAGTATCTCAAAAGAAGTGTATGGGAGGAACATTACTTTCTCTTCTTCCTGGTGGTTACTTTCTGACCCACACAATCCCCAGAGAATTCCAGAATGTAGAACTATGAACCTTTAATTCCTTAATTCAGGGGAGTAGCAGATACTGTGTCCTATGCCTAACATACTCCCCTTCTGTCCTTTTTCTAGACTCTGGAAAGTCCAAGATAAAGGTACCAGCAGGTTTGGTTGTCTGTGAGGGCTACTTTCTGCTTCCAAGATGGTGCTATATATTCTGGAAAATGGAATGTTGTGTCCTCACCTAGCAGAAGGCAGAAAGAAGGGAAGAGGGTCGAAGTTTTTCCATCATTGCCTCCTTTTAAGGGCACCCACTCCCACTCTTGAGGGTAGAGTCCTCATGACTTAATCAGCTCTTAACCCTTCACCTCTTAGACTGACCACATTGGCAGTATCTAAGTTTTGCAGAGCACACATCAAATGATTACCTGCCCTATGATCGGTCCTTCTCTTTACTAGGAAATTCCCTATGAGGTGGGAATTCTAAACCTGGTTCATAAAGGGGATCTCAGGATCTGTGCTTCTCTAGAATTGTTTGTAGATGTGCTGGAGAGTACATTTCAGTAGAGAGACTACAAATCTTTCACCTAGCTCTCAAAATAGCACCTCTAGATGCAAAAACCACTCACGCCAATACTCAGTCAAAACTCTTTCTTCCATTCCAACTAGAAAAGACATCTCTGTTGTGATGGTTGACTGATTGTACCAACTTGAGTAAGAGAAGCTCTACTAAGTTGATTCAATAATTCCACATGCTAGGGCTTGTCACTTGAATGGTATAAAGGGGAAATGAAGGGCAGATCTGTTTCTGTTTCTTCAAAGGAGCTCTGGTTTTGGCTTCACCTTGATGTTATCTCCTGGCTTCCACTGCAGACTCTTCAGCTTCCAGCATAGACTCTTCAGCCTTCCATAACAGACTCATCGGCCTCCTGATACAGACTCACACAGGACTCTTCAGTGAGCTTCAGATCATCAAATGAATCCTTATGTCTCCAGTGTGCAGACAAACCATCTTCCTCACCATCTTCCTCAACTGATTCTGTGAGTGGACATTTTAAGTCAAGCTTGTAAATTCTTATGTATTTGTGTGTAATGTATTATTATATCTGTTTCTCTAGTAAACACAGACCAATACAGATTTTGGTACTGAGGGTGGGGTTACTACTGAGTGACTGTACCTGACCATGTGATTCAGGAGACTTTGTAATTGGCTCATGGGGAGTGGTTGGAAAGGTTCAGAGATGCCAGCTGAAAGAGAAGTTTTGGAAAGCCTTAGGCTATAGCTGTACCTGATGGGAGATTCTGGTTAGAGCTCATAAGACCAGTAAGGTGACAGAAATATTTCCAGTAAAGACCAATCTTGGGAGGTTTCTGTCATAAAGAAGGACTACATTATCTGCTGAACTCCAGATGATGTATGCTATGCCTTGGCAGAAAATTTGTCTGTATTTTTGCTCATGTATAGAGACTTTGCACAAGACTGAGATTAAGGGTGGTAGACTAATTAATCTTGCAGGAAAAATTTCAAAGCAATCTAATGTTGAGATGGTAGCATGGCTGCTATTGGGGGCTTTTACCCAAATTTGTGTTGAGAATCAAGAACAGAGCCCAGCAAAATGAGTTTGTCTAGAAAAGAAGCTCCAGTAAAGTTATGGCCTGAAAAGATGAAACAGGAGAAAATGGTCACGGAAAAGACCAGCAAGGAAAATCCAAGTAATTCAGATAAAGATAATAGGTAAGGCCCAAGGACATCACAAGAATCAGCAGCACTTCAGTCTTTACAACCTCATAGTTGCAAAGGTAAAAGACCTTGCTCTGAGAGGAGTACTCCAGAGCACCATGTTCCAGAATGTCAGCAGCCTGGAGAATTTGTTCCTCAGGGTTGAATTCAGAGTGCTCAGCAATCCAGGCATTTGGACTCCTATAACCTATAGCCCAAAGATATGAAAGCTTGGTTACTGCTCTAATTGATAACAAACATTGGCATTATCTATGTGGTGCTAGTTTTAGGTGCATGAAAAATGCAAGGATTGTGTTATCAGGGGGAGTTTCACTTAGATTTCAGTAGAAGGCATGGAAGGCTAGACAGTGTGCCCCTGAGAGAACAGTGTGTGAAGCTGTGAACGTGAAGCCAATGGTGCTGTAGAGACCCAAGATGTTTGGGGGAAGCCAGGGATGTGGGTTTTCTGAGGACAACCGCAAGGAGGGAACAAAGCTAATCCAAGACAGAAGCTGTGGGAGCTACCACCACTGGCAATGCTGTAGGGATGGAGCCACCCAAGCCCTTTGGAGTTTACATTTTGCCATAGATTGCCTCAGGTGCTGTACATGGAACTACATATATGCCCTGTTGGATTTTGGATTTGCTTCTTTCCATTTCTTTGTATCCTCTATTTGTACCTTTTGAAATGGTAATGTTTATCTTATGTCATTGTATGTTGGAAGTGTTTTTCTTTTCATTTGTACAGGGCCTTGAAGCTAAGTGTTGGCCTTAAATCTCAGAGGAGACTTGGGACTTGGACTTTTCAGCTATGCTGAAACTGTTAGGAGTGTTAGCAGCTCTTAGAGACAGACTAAATGCTTTTTGCATAAGGGAATTTACATGAGTCTTTGGGGGAGCAGAAGTGAAATACTGTTTTGTGTTTAGATGTCCCCACCCCCAAAGCTTCATGCAGGCATAGTTGAGGCTTTTTCAGAGGTGGCTGGATCTAGATTGTATGATGCTGGGATTAAGTGTGTGTGATTACTAAATCAGTGCACTGATTGGTTTAGCACTATCCTAATCCTGGTATCCTAGATAGAGTATAAAAGAGGCAGGAAAAAAAAAAAAAAAACTTCTAAGGTCTCCTGCTTGCAATACTACCTTCTGCCCACCATGTACTGTTTCTCCTCTGTGATGCTTGTCTGCTGTACCACTCTGCCTTGGAGCCAAGTGACAAAGGAATGAAACCTCCACAAACTTTAAGCCAAATAAACCTGTCCTACCTTAACTTTGGTCATAAATCATTTTGTCTCAGCAATGAGAAAAGTAACTAAGACACATAGCTTAGCCAAGCATCATGATGTGTATTTATAATCCCAGCACTCAGGAGGTTGAGGCAGGAGAATTGTCAGGAGTTGGAGGCCAGCATGGGCTACATAGTGAGTTAAAGGCATCCGGAATTACATAGTGTTCTGCAAAACAAAACAAAACAAGAAAAACAGCTTAATGTGATGTGTAGGACAGGTGATAACAAAAGCAAAGTGATTAATATATGGAATCAAGAGAGAAATGAATTTTTAGCAGCCGTTGTTTAAAGATATCAGAGGAAGCTTCCTGGAATTGGTGCCAGTTACCTGGATTGTAACACATGGTGAAAGTTTGAGAAGTCGGAAATGATGTGGGGCAGAAGACAAAGGACAAAATTCCCTTCTAGCAATCCTGATGTCTTCATCGACTCCAATGTCCAAAAGGAGGGGCTGTTCAAACTGTCTAGTATTTGGAGTCATGTTCATCCAGGCAGACTAGGTTGGCTTAGAGTTTCTTTTTGTCTTCTCCCTTTAAAAGAAAATAAATGGGCTGGTTTTGTGATGCCAGCTATTGCCAGCAGCCTTGTCTCTGCTGTTGAATTATTCATCCTGCAAGATGAATTATTAATTTCTAATTTCATACAGCAAATGCCAGGCAAACAGGTCAAAATGAAGTTGAAATGCTGGGCAAGGAGCCATAGACCTCCCCAGGACTCTTGGAACACAGGCCACTGAGGCTAGCCAAAAAATTATGCAGGAATTCACAAGGGGCTCACCCTGGACTGCATTTGACTAAGGATGAAGGTAGCACAAGATTAGGATGCTCCTCAAGTGGTTGAACTCCATTATCCTATAGTTCTCTGGTGTCTTGCTTCCCTGGACCTTAGGTGGAGCACCTTTGGTTGGTATTGGCGTGGGACTACATCACACGTTCTGAGGGAGTTTATGTGCCATTCAGTGCATTGATTTGTGTTTGAATCTGAGCCTTGACTCCAAGCAGTCCTGAGTTAGTCAAGCCAGACTTCTCAACCTCAGGTCTATTAACATATTGGCCTGGATAATTCTTTGTTGTAGGGCACTGTTATGTACATCTTATAGGACACTGAGTCACATTTCTGGCTTCTACTCACTACATGTTGATAGCACAGCCCCTCTCCCAACTCTGCCCTAGTTATGCCAACCCAAAAATACCTCTAGATACCTCCTACTTGAGGAGCAATAAGTAAGTGCTTTTACTTCCTTGAATTTTTCTTCCCCTACCTATATTAAATCAGAGTAGTTCTTACCAGGGTGAGCAGAGTGAGATGACAATCAAATTGGATCACAAATAAGCCTTAGTTTATTAGGAATCATTCTAGGTGACCTGGAGTTTTTTTGTTGGTTTTGACTTTTTTTTTTCTATTTTCTTTTTTTAGTTTTTTGAGACAGAGTCTTGCTATTTAGTCTACATTGGCCTTGCATTCACTATGTAGCCCAGGCTTAAACTTACAAAATTCCTGCCTTCAATTGTGAGTATAGTCTGAAAAAAAAAAATTCCTGCCTTAGCCTCCTGAGTGCTGGGATTATAGACATGTGCCGCCATACCCAGTATTGTTCTAGGACTTTGTTGTTGTGTCTTTCTCCTTTTTATCGGTACCAGGGATCGAACTCATGACTGCCTGCTTGCAAGGCAGGTGCTTATGCCGCTGAGCTAAACCTCCAGCCCCTGTTCTGGGACTTTTATATTACACGAATGGCTCTCTTTTATGTTTCAGTTCAGGTCTTGTTTAGGATTGGATTCAGTTGCAGATAACGGATCAATCCACTTTAAACTGGTTTGAATAGTCAAGGGAGTGCTTGGTTTATATAATGCAAGGTCCAGAAATAGTTGGTTGAGCTTCACATTTGGGAGACCAGAAACTCACTCACATCTGCAGTAACCATTTCTGTCTCTTTGCTCTACCACAGATAGTGAAAGATACAACTAATTTGCTTTGGGATCCTATCATGAATTTCAGCAGCAAATTGTACTATGGATTCCAGTGGTAGAAGTAACACATCTTTTCCAGCATTCCAAGTGAGACTCTAAGAGTCATACTGGTTGGGCCACTTAAGTCAAATGCCTACTCTAAAAAAAATAGTATCTATATTCAGTGGAATGGATGTGCTTGTTGATTAGGCCATCAGATCTCACCCCTGGAACTTGATGTGGAGTTACATTCCTCTAAATATATGGTCATGGCCATGCCCAAATGAATATTTAAGCATGCATAGGATCCAGGAACCATTTCTGAACCAGTCTTTGTAGCTGTAGATTGGCTAGATTTGAGACTTGACCAACCCTTCAAATTGGAAGAATGAGGAAATGGGAAGATCAGCCTCACCCAGCAGTGAGGACCAGCAGTGAAGAAAAGTTAGTTTTCTAATACCAAAATAGGAATGCTGCTACCAAAGAGACATGGGTACCAGGCAGGCAAGAATAAAAGGCGTCTCCTGCATGGGGTCACAAGAGGGCCATGGGGGAATGTTAGTATATCTAAAGAGTGGGTTAGATAACTCTTGCACACTACTCTGCTTCTTTTGGGCTCACCTTTATTCTACCCAGTGGTAGATGCTCTCAGTTACAACTCAACAGCATCTTGCTTCTTGTTTTATGCCATGGAGATGCAGGGAACCTGCCAGACTCAATACTTATACATGTGTAACTGGAAATGACATTACTAATGAATGTCCTATGAGGCAAACCTGAACCAATGGGAATGGGAGATGATGCTTTGTTCTTTAGTCCTTAGAGTGATTATTTCCAAGATATATTTCCTAAGGCATCTCAAAAGTTATCTAGATATTGAGCCACTAGTTACCTATATCAGAAACACTCTGAAAGAAAGACGGCCCTATTCTTGCCTGTCTTCTACTTCTGTCCTCTGGAGCCACTTTCTAAATAAGCTATTCACACAGAATCCTTTGTCTGAGACTGTAATTTTGGGGGAGCCTACTTAGTCTGAGATGAAGATTTATCTTTATACTTTTACACAACATGTAAAAAATAAGTTTTTTTGGAGGCTAGTGATAGAATGTTTGCATCACATCTCATGTGTAAGGCTCTGAGTGTGAGTCCAATACTGACAAAAAAAGAAGTAAGTTTTGTGTCTTTACCTTGGCCTCCTGCCTACTGGCACGTTGCAGTCAGAGGACACTGCACCTAGCACCTCAAAGTCAAGATCCTGGAACCATAGTAAGGCCCAGACCTTTCTTGGCAAGAGGCAGCAGCTACCAGCTACTGTGCCTGAGGTGAGTAGGTGTGTGGCACAAGTGTTCCAAGATGAAACAGTGCCCAGAGAAGCAGTCAGGAGCTGACTGCAGGCTTTAAGGACTTTATCAAGATGTCACCAGCCAAACAGGGAAGGCTTCCCTCCCTCCAGCTCAACTCCTGTGATTCCTGGTGTGACTTGGACATCAAGTGCTTGCTTAGAGTGGCTTGCCAATGACAAGGCAGAAAGTGCACAGATAGTGAGAAGTTGGAGAATGAGTTGTCATCCTGTCTCTAATGGCTGGGCCTCTCCTTCTCTGAGCAAATGTTACAATATGACACTGTTTTTCTGCTCCACTTGGCTATTTGCTCTCCTGATACTCACTGATCATTCCTGGAAATGTTTGGATGAATGCCTCCTTAATCCTCTGGCCGTTACCCAGCTACGTACTATGCCACCTACCCTGTACTCGAAATTTATTAGTTCCTTGCTGATGGCCAAATACTTTGTGCTTGGTTTTTTTGCCTTTGCTGTGAGCTATATTCCAAATCCTTTTGTATTGTAAATTTTGAGACAGTATATAAGTTGCTAAATTGGGGCTGGGAATTTAGCTCAGCGGCATAAGCGCCTGCCTTGCAAGCAGGCAGTCGTGAGTTTGATCCCTGGTACCGATAAAAAGGAAAAAGACAAAAAAAAAAAAATAAGTTGCTAAGTTGCCAGGTTGGTCTCAAACTTGTGATCCTACTGCTTCAGTAACACAGAGTGCTAGGATTAGAGGAATATGCCCTCTGACTGCTTCTTGCCTTTAGACAGTCCTTTACTCTCTAACAGAAAACCACAGTGGTGCATTGAAGGCTTGAGGTCACCTTGGTTTATACATATCTGGGAGTCTCTAAGTTTATGATTTGGCTTACCAGGTGGAATCAGGGCAGAGCTGAACAATTAGCTCCAGACTGAAACTTTTCAGTGATGACTTCCCATGGCAGTTAAAAGGCTATGAGGTACAGTCAAGCCTCTCTAATCTTATCTTGTCTTGTCTAAAAACCACTCATTACTGAGTTAGTTGTAGCTTCACAACCAGCCCCTACTCCCTCCAGCTCCCAAGGCTACACCAGCTGATTGCTCTGCACAGGGTGCCTCTCTCATTCCTGTCATTCCTGTCCTTTACCTGGAATGCTTTGAATCATCTTTCAGGTCCCAGCTAAGTGCCACTACCTCCAGGAAGCCTTCCTTATCTTCATAAATTGATTAAGGTTCGTCCTATAATTTCCCAAGTTGCCCATAATAAACCTTAGCACATTGCTTTATACTCATTTGTTTATGTGTTTGTCTCCATACAGCAAGTGATAAATTCCCAGACATTAAAGTTCCATTTCTAGTTCAGTTACCTAGTACTCAGGGCCAAGTCAAAGAGACGGTGTTCCCTAAGTATTTATTGAATAAATATTAAGATGCTTAGGAGCTGGAGTGTAACTCAGTGATAGAGTACTTGCCTAACATGTATGAGGTACTGGGTTTGATTCTTGGCTCTGAAAAAAAAATTTGTTTTAAAAGAAAAAAAATATAGAAATCTTCAAAGTATTTAATAATTCAAGTTAAGACCAACTGTTATGGACAGTCTGTAATGTTAGTAGTCTGAGAAGCTAAGGTACAATGATCCCAGGGCTGGGGATTTAGCTCAGTGGCAAAAGTGCCTGCCTGGCAAGCATGAGGTCATGAGTTCAATCCCCAGTACCGAAAAACAAAACAAAACACCACAGAGGTACAGCGATCCCAAGTTTGAGTCCAGCCTGGAAAATTTAGGAACTTAGAAAGACCCTGTCACTCCTGGGCTGCATGTGGCTTCTGGGTTGGAGATGCCTGTGTTCCTAGCACAGGAATCTGTCTGCCATGCTGGAAAGTTGTGATACAATAAAACCTGCTGGCTTGGACCAGTGCAAATGCCACAAAAATAAAAAACAAAAAACAACAACAAAAAAGAAAGATGCTGTCTCAAAATTAAAAATTTGGCTTCTGGGAAAATGGTAGACAGATGAACAACAGAGAAACAGCCTCTCTGAGATGTGGTGTCTAGACACTTGAATATAGAAATGTGAGAAAGAGGAAAAGGAGAGAAGTGGGTCCTTGGGACACAGAAAGGATCTGAATCAAGAATTGAAGTCAATGGGGAGAACAAAGAGAGATATCAGAACACAGAAGAAGGAGGTGGCAAGTGGTACTTCTTCCCTGAACCCTGACTCACTGCTTGAGAGGGGAGACTTGAACCTGAAGATACATGGAGACTATGGGTGACTGCAAA